AGCGGGGAGGGAGGGGGAAAATGAGCTGATGCAGGGGCTTACGTGGAGAGCAAATGTTTTGAGAATGATGAGGGCAATGAATGTACAAATGTGCTTCATACAATTGATGCATGTATGGACTGTGATAAGAGTTGTATGAGTCCCCAATAAAATGATTTAAAAACAAAAGAAAAACACGAACTTAAAAATGACATCGTCAGAAGTTCAGACGTTAAGCCACTTGGATGACTTCGACTTTCACTTGCCACTCATTAAATGCCCCTGCCTTTTTCTTCCCGATCCCTGCGTGCATCCCTGCTGAACGTCGCTCTCCCCCTTTAGAAAGCATGCACCTTCATTAAATCCAACCTGGATCCCAGGCACGTGGATTCCCTCTTCTACGCCGCCCAGTCCAGCCAGGCCCTCTCGGGCTGTGAGGTGAGTACAGATCCCGTTAAATGAACTTTAACCTATAAAGCCGTTCTGAAAAGAGGGGGTTCACATCGAATCGTCCGTTTTTGTTTTCCCACCAAACAATGAAACTGACCTAAGAATCCGTGGTGGGGGTGAAAATTCCGATCTTATGTTTTGTTTTGTTTTTCCCTTAAGCCAAATGTGTCTCTTTACCTCCTGACCTTTTGAAACCCTTCCCTGAAGCTTACCTGAGTTTTGTTGTTTTTTTGCTTACCTGGGTTTTAAGTAACTTTTCCCACAGTTGTTACTTCTCGTAGGAAGCTTTGGTTTTCTTCTCCAAAGAAGGGGGGGATGATGTTCGCAGTAGAGGAAGAGTGCCCCCCCACCCCCCATTTCTAGAAAGCTGTCTGATGGCCTTAGCAGTGCTTTGTCAGCGTCTCTTCTAGGGAACAGACCCTGGCGAGGCGGGGGTGTCATATGTGACCAGGTGTGACTCGGCCAGTTGCTCTCCATGCCACCTTTGGTGTACCTGCCATGAACTTCCAGCCCCTGCTCTAACCCTCCATGTCTCCCAATCCCTCTAGATCTCTATTTCAAATGAAACCAAAGACCTCCTTCTGGCAGCTGTCAGTGAAGACTCGTCGGTTACCCAGATCTACCACGCGGTTGCAGCCCTGAGTGGCTTTGGCCTCCCCCTGGCATCCCAGGAAGCACTCAGCGCCCTGACAGCTCGTCTCAGCAAGGAAGAGACTGTGCTGGCGTGAGTCACCACCCGTGGGTGCTTCTTGGGCATTGTTCGTCTCCGTCCTCTCCTGAGAGGGTTCGTCCCTGGGTTTGACAAGTACCTTCAGGTTGGCTCCTACGGGCCTGGCACTTGTAGGCACTGCAGGCACAGGTATAGTGATTGCTGAGGCAGCTGAGGATCCCTGTCCGTGTGGACCGTACATAGAGCAGCCCAAGCTGATCAGGCAGGAGGCAGATCCCGAGTCAACGCATAAGCCCTGGCCCAAGGCTTGCCTTTGGAGGTTAGCGTGGCTGCGGGAGCCACAGGCCCTGTGTTGAGGCTTGGTTGGGGCCCAGTGAGATGTGGTTGGCATTGGGGGCTCTGCAAACACACAGGCTGGGGGAATCTCTCAAAGTGGCGAGTGACCGCATCTGCTGGGAGAGCTGGGCGTGCAGAGCTGGCCCAGACTCAACTCGACAACAGGCTTAAGTGAGGGAGAAAGGGACTCTGAGCAACTCCTGTTTATTGTTATTAATTTAATTTTGGGACCATCTTAGCGATGTTTGCTACACACCTTAAAATTGGTGGTATATGTAATTGTTGTTGCTTTTAGACATCGGGTCTCTTCATTTACATTTCCCCCTGTGTGCCCCCCATTTCATTGCCACCCTAGAGAGAGAGGGTGTAGCGGACCTGGAGTCCTGCCTTGGCGGGTGCTCCATGCCAGAGCCCAGGGAATTCTTCACAGGAGCATTTAGATGGTTTCCTGGGCCATTGGTCCTGTTTTGCTAGTAACCAAATTATTTCTGCCCTGTACCGTTCGTTCTTCAGGGCAGAGTTCACAGGCCATTGACATTCTGCCCCTGTCACTGCCCAGTGCACAATCACATGATCAGCTGTCCGTGGCAGTGGCCGACACCGCTCCCAGGGTTAGCACCCGGGTTGGGCCCTTGTGCCTCTTTCCTGTGGGTTCTAGTTCTTTCCATCCTACTCCTCGTCACTTGTGGTGGGATGTTAAAACCCCGCAACAGGACACAGTACGAGCAGGTGCGCTCATTTAGACAGACTTGGGCTCGAATGCTAGCTCTGTGCCGTCTTTGCTCTGTGACATTGGGCAGGTTACTAACCCTGTGAGCTGGGACCAGGCATCTCCCATCATGGAACTAAGGTGAGAAAACCACTGGGCTAACACACAGGTGAAGAGCCGAGCACGGTGCCTGGGTCTTGGTGGGTCTTCTCTTTAGAGTGCTTCCTGGTGAGGTCGTATTGTTAGAGACCAGGTGACTTCCTCTGTCAGATTGCCTTCGGTTTTCTATTAGGTTGTCAGCTTCTTTGTGTGCAAAGTTTATAGAGCTTGGCACATGGTAGGGAGTTCAAGTCCAGCTTCTTCTATTAAGCCCTCTGTGAACGTGGATGGGTACTTCCCGGCCTTGTTTTTCATATGCAATAGAGGGAACAGGATGTCCGTCTCAGGTTTATAACTTGTGAAGCACAGACTTGGCAAAAGGAACCCTAGTGGCACCGTGGGTTAAGCGTTGGGCTGGTAACTTAGAGGCCAGCAGTTTGAGCCTACCAACTGCTCTGCCGGTGGAGGAGGAGGAGGCTCTCTACTCCAGTGAAAACGGACAGCCTCAGACCCCCTGTGGAGCAGGTCTGCTCCGGCCTGCAGGCTCGCTGTGAGTCGGAATCGCCTTAACTGCGTTGGGTTTGGGTCTGGTTTAGTTTATTTCCTTTTTTCTTTTCAGGAACTTTTTGAAGTCTCATCATATAATACAACAAAACAAAACAAAAGCCAAACTAACTGCCATTGAGTCTGTTCCGACTCATAGCAACCCTATAAGATAGGGCTAGTATTTTCCCTGTGGGTTTCCGTGACTGTAACTCTCTGCAGGAGTAGAAAGCTTCATCTTTCTCCTAAGGAACTGCCTGGTGGTTTTGAACTGGTGACTTTGCAGTTAGCGGCCCAATGTGTAGCCACTATGCCACTGGGGCTCATATAACAGTACCACTATTATTCCCTATTTGAAGAGTCCTAATGGCACTGCCAGGTGAGCACTGGACTGCTACTGGCAAGGCCTGTGGTTCAAGCCCAACAACTGAAAGTTGCTCTGTACACACCAGCCTGCATGATCATGAGGTGTCGAAGGGATTGTTATCAGTCATCAAAGAACAAAAAAATCATATCATTGTGTGCTCACCTCCCCGATGTGATCGCTGAACACAAATGGGTGCATAAGCAAATGTGGCAAAGAAAACTGATGGTGCCCGGCTATCGAGAGATGTAGCATCTGGGGTCTTAAAGGCTTGAAGGTAAACAAGCGGCCATCTAGCTCAGAAGCAACAAAGCCTACATGGAAGAAGCATACCATCCTGTGCGATCACGAGGTGTTGAAGGGCTCAGGTATCAGACATCAAAGAATAAAAAATCTTATCATAGTGAATGAGGTGGGGAGTGCAGAGTGGAGACCCAAAGCCCATTTGTGGGCCACTGGACATCCCCTTACAGAAGGGTCTTGGGGAGGAGACGAGCCAGTCTGGGTGTGATGTAGCAACGATGAAACATACAACTTTCCTCTAGTTCCTAAATGCTTCCTCCTCCCCCACTATCATGACACGAATTCTACCTTACAAATCTGGCTAGACCAGAGGATGTACACTGGTACAGATAGGAACTGGAAACGCAGGCAATCCAGAGCAGATGATCCCTTCAGGACCAGTGGTGTGAGTGGCGATACCGGGAGGGCAGAGGGAGGATGGGTTGGAAAGGGGGAACCGATTACAAGGATCTACATGTAGCCTCCTCCCTGGGGGACGAACAACAGAAAGGTGGGTGAAGGGAGACGTCGGACAGGGCAAGATATGACAAAATAATAATTTATAAACTATCAAGGGTTCATGAGGGAGGGCGGGAGAGCGGGGAGGGGGCCGGAAATGAGGAGCTGATGCTGGGGCTTAGGTGAAGAGCAAATGTTTTGAGAATGATGAGGGCAATGAATGTGCAAATGTGCTTTACACAATTGATGTGTGTATGGATTGTGATAAGAGTTGTCTGAGCCCCTAATAAGACGATTAAAAAAAGAGAGTTGCTCTGTAACGATGTCTGCTCCGTGAAGACGGACGCCCATGGGAGCCTGCGTGGGAATGGCTTCAGTGACACAGTGGGTTTGGGTTTTGGTGTAAATTGGGACTCTTCAAAGTAGACCCTCTCTGTCTTTGTGGACTTTTCCTAGGAAATCTGTGTTCTCAAACGTGTCCTGAATGGAAAACAGAGTATCTGTGAATCTCTGCTACAGTTGTCATTGTGGCCTTCCCATGCACCCATTTCTTTGAATCCTGACACTATATCATCAAGACAGGCTCTGCCCCTCTGGTGTGGTGTCTAGTGCTCCCCCGGGAAGAAATGGGTGGCTGGGGAATAAGTCGTTCAATCCAGTGACAAAACTGTCCTCAACATGATGCTCACGTCCCAGTGGGACCTTCCTCCTAGCTCCCTGAGTAGCCCTATTCTGAGCTCAGCGTTCATCACAAGCAGGTGTGGGGGCTGGGTTTTGTGTCTGCCTTGTTGGGAAATGCAGTTTCATTTTCTCAAGCACGTTAGAACAACAGATATCCCCCAGGAGTCCTTGAATACTCAGGGGGTTCCCTCTCTTGTGACGCCTCTGTTTTCCAACTTGTCATCTTAATGGAATTTAGTTTTCCATAGAGGGAATCTAAATTGTTAAGACCGCGACCTGAGCAAACAGATGCTTGCTGTGACTCCCCAGCCCGTTGACTTGTTAAGCGCTGGTTTCACGCCAGGCCGCCAGCCCTTGGGAGTTAGAGAACTCTGGGAGCGGGGATTGGATCACAGTTGGCTTAACCACCAGGGGGCCTCCATCTTCCAGAATCCTCCCAGAAAAACAGCACTTCTATTTTCCACATGACCTGCGTTCAGAGAATAGAATCTAATTTTTTAAATTCAAATGTGCACATGCCTACCACATCCTACCTGTAAAAAGTTATTCTTGCACAAATGTACTCATCAATCAAGGGAAATGCAAGTATGCATTGCCTAACACCGAGATACGTTCAGTGGAGTTGGGCAGCAAGTGATTTGGACATTGTATGAATGCTCTGTTCACACCTTTTGGGAGCCCACTTCTGGCTATCCTTATTGTTGCCACTGCGGCTGCTTCTCAAGTGGCTGGCAGAGGCCAGAGTCACAGGTGGCACCAGAACCGTGCCCTTGTCCTCATCTGCCTGAATCTCATCATGGCCCACAGCTGCAGGGGTCTGGGACCTTGAAAGCCATTAGAGGGTATTAAAGAACAAAGGGAGCTAGTTTCCCTTAAAAACAAAAAGCTTCATGAGCCTACAGGCATCTGTGTGACTGGTATGTGTGGTGGTCCAACATTGGCAAACTGAAGTTTATGACCAGGTAGAAGAACAGTGGAACTCAAGGCTGATCACCTGGCGATTACAAGAGTCAACGACATCAAGGCATTCCCAGCCCGTGTGGTTGCTGGTAAGAATGCAGGATGTCCTTATCCTTCTGTGGACTGGCCTGGAAAGATGCCTACACTGTAATGTATTGAAGCAAAGATGGCTTGGAGAAGAGTTATCCTTTAAGGAGTAGGTGCCACGGGCATTCTCGCTCTTTAATAGTGTATTATTTGAGTTCTGGACAAAGACATACTCTGATAATGGGATTAAAGTGAGGACTGAAAGAAGAATAGATTCAGGTTTGGGACCAACTCCTCTGCCCCTCTGATTGAATGCCTGCAGGATGAGTAACTCGGGTCTTCCTTGGATGATGATGGCATGCGGTGAGACATCGCGCTCAGTTCATGGGATGCTTTCTGTGCATAGGGTATCTTCTGGTTCCTAAAGAATTGCTCCAGGTTCCACCTGATAGCTTCCTGTTTTGCTTGCAAATGTAGATTCCACATATCTTTGGCCCAGGAATAGGAAAAGTAGAAATGTACCTGGCACTGGGCCTTGTAAAGTAGAGGAGATGACAGGTAAACGTTGCTTGAATTGGATCCTGTTCTCCTTCAGTGTATGTCTCCCAGCCCTTATTAGTCTATAGCCACAGCGTACTGTGTGTGGTGAGCCTGGGTTCCCTCCTCCCTGGGCCCATCGTACTTTCTGCTGCTTCTCTGGCCCAGGTTGCCTTCTCTGACTGCCATGATCGCTTCCAGCCTGTGTCGCATCTCTCCCACTAGCTTGCAAATAAGCCCCTGAAGGGCTGAGACCGCCTTGAACTTTCAGAGAACAAGAGCAGGATATTTGAGAAGTTCCCCGGGAACGGGAAGAGAGTGGTTGAAGAAGGACTTCTCAGCCATTGGAAATCTCCTGTTTACCTTCCAGAACTGTCCAGGCTCTGCAGACAGCTTCCCACCTGTCCCAGCAGGCTGACCTGAGGAGCATCATCGAGGAGATTGAGGTGGGATTTGCTTTTGGCAAATGGGTTTCCCAGCTCCTCCCTCTGAAACCCTGTAGATAGACATGCATGATTTATTAAGGACAGATCCACAGCCCACGTAGGTTAATTTGTTGCATCTATTGTAGGTTTGCATTGAGGGCTTTGTAGGTTGCCCTCAAACTGATGGTCAGGGACTCTCGCCTCCTGGGTGCCCCCAACATTCTGTCCAGAACCAGCTAGTGCCTCCAGTACCGAAACTCCTGGGCTTGCGAAGGCATCCTCCTCCCAGAGCTACGGAATAGGCTGCTCTTGAAATAGCTGTGTGATACGCTTTGCTCTCTGGAACTAGGAAGTCTGGTAAAAGTGCTGAGTGGCTGACACCAGATTTAGACTGAAGAACTGCTCACAAGGCGCAGTGTGTGTACTGGGACGCAGTGGTGCACGGGCCTCACTTCTGTTATCACACTGCACTTTCCACTTCCCTTTTGTTGTGACAGGACCTCGTCGCTCGCTTGGATGAACTGGGGGGCGTGTACCTCCAATTTGAAGAAGGCCTGGAAACCACGGCGTTATTTGTGGCTGCCACCTACAAGCTCATGGACCACGTGGGGACCGAGCCATCCATGAAAGAGGTGCCTGCCTAACAGCCCTTGGTTCTTAACCCACGTCATCGGTTAAGAACAGCTTTTGTCCAGGGCGGTCCGTTCTGTTAGTCTTGGGGTGTGGTCACCCAGTGTCTTGGGGTGGGCCTCGAGAATGCGAACTCAGACAGTTGTGGAGAAACTGGTGGTCAGTGGGGCTGACATGGAAACAAAATGTGGCATTTGCTGTACATGGGCTACGTGCCGGTCAGGAGGCAGTGGCCAGAAGGGCAAGTGAATTACCCGCTCTCTCCCCTTTTCGTCAGACCTCCCTGCCCGCCTGCCTCATGAGTGCTTCCCCTTTGGTGACCCTTGCAAATCCTCTTTCTCATGAGAAGTGCCGTGCACTTCACAATTGCCCGTTCCTCCATGCCGCCCTTGTCCTCAGCAGTAGCTAATCTCTGCTGATTGACAGAGTTCACTGGGCGGCATGTGTGTCTACCAGACATCCGCTAAGAGTCCCTTTTATTTCCCCCAAGAAGAGCTTGTTAACCTGAAAGAACCTTCTGTCAGAGTGGTGGGGGGAGGGGGGAAGCCTTTCTGAGTAGGGCCTGCTCCGTGAGAAGGATACCAAGCCGTGATCCGATGTACTCAAAACACGAGCCGCTATTGTTTTGATCTTTGAAGGCGAGACTTGGGTTTGCCGTTAGAACCTGTATTTCTTCCACGCGTTAAGAGTTGTTGTATGCAGACTTTCTTTAAGTCAATGGCAAATACCTGCCTTGGGCATTTGAATTCACGTTATATTTTCTCCAGAAAATTTGAGCTAATAATGTGTTCCTATAGTTACATTCTTTAGGCACGGTTTCTTTCATCTTAAGGGGCTCTGGTTGCGAAGTGGGTTAGATGTTGGACTGCTAGCTCCAGGTTGGTGGTTCAAGTCTATTGGTTGCCCTAAGGAGAAGGGCGAGCTTGTCTGCCACCCCGGCAGGATTCGCAGTCTGGGAAACCCTGCGGACGGAGCAGTTTTACTCTGCCCTCGGACTGAGGCTTCTCAAGGGTTCCGGGTGGACACGATGACAGCAAAAGCACAGGCATGTGGCTCTTGGGGGAGCAGTCATCTAGGGGTGCCCTTGCACGTAGTGAACCAGGTGAATTGACAGTGCCCTACACATCCAACTCACACGTTTGTTTGCTTAATTTCCAAGCTTCCACGAACCAGATATTTGGCTGCGGTAATTTTGCTGTCACTGCTTTTGATGCAGCAGTTCTAGTGAACAGTTACCCATTTGGGCACGTCAACAGCCTAGTAATGGAAAAATGTAATTGGTACAATTAAAGGGAATTATTTCACGTCGCCTGTGAATAACACTGTCAGGAGCAGGGAGCTCTTTTGTTAGGTAGTAGATTTTACCAAAAAAATCTAATGGAAGTGGAAAATGTTTCCTCTTCAGTAAATACCCTCCAGAATTTTAATAATGTCTTTTCAGGGCCCCCCTTTTAAAAAAAATGTTTTTAGTTTTCTTCTCTCAGCCCATTAGTTCTTAATGAGAGTTATTTTCATTTCTTTTGGGACATATGATGTAGTTTCATAAATGTAAACTTAGCCCCTTTTACTGTGCAAAGGTAGGCTGGGCAGGTGGTAGGGTGGAAGGAAGAGTGGGGGTAGTTTAACTGGGAGGAGGATTTGAGGGGAACCAGGGAAGAAAGTATCTCATTGTGGAAGGACTTTGGACACTAACAGACCTACATTTCAATTTTACTGTTTTTCCTTTTTTTTCTTTTCTGGTAGAACTTGGACAAGTGACTTAACTGCCATAGTTTCTCCTTTGGAAAAGAAATGGTACCTGTCTGTCAGGGTTTGTGTTAGGCGGTAGAGTTAATAGCTAGAAAGCACCTAGTACAGTTCTTGGCACATACAGACATTTAACAAATGGTTACTCGTAAGGGTCTTTTGCACTATACTTTCCTAGCTTCATACAGGAGAAAGACGGGGCTCTCTGTGCCCGGGAAGAGTGACAGTCTCAGGAACTCACAGGGGCAGTTCCACCCTGTCCTGTCGGGTCCTTATGAGTCAGCATCGACTATCTGGTAGTGAGTTTGCAGTTTGCTTTTTATCCAGTGATCCCTTCAAGACACTAGGGTTCTGCTAGTACACCGTATATACCCGTGTATAAGCCAGGTTTTCCAGCATAATTTTTAATGCAGTTTTTGTGGTAAAATTAGGTGCCTCGGCTGATATTCGGGTCGGCTTATAGTCGACTGTATACGGTACCTTATATGCTTCTCCCTCTCAACAACCAAACTCCCTGCCCACGGACAGTGTAGAACAGTGTAGAACTGCCCCCGTGGGTCTCCGAGGCTGTAGCTCTTCAGGGGAGCAGAAAGCTTGAGTGTGCCATCTGCTGGCTGCTCTCCCAGGGCCCCTGACCGTCTAGAGGTGTGCTTCGTAGGGAGCAGTTGACTACGCAGTTGGCGCTGCTTTTCTGTTTTTAACGACAGCCTTGAGTTGGACAAATCATTAAGCTTTGAAATTCCCTTCTTGACCAATTTCTCTTTGAAAAATGTGCCTTACTTCCGTAGCAATCAGGAAGGCAGTGCCCTGCATGTGTTTAGCAAACATTCCGTAAACGCCGAGTTTATACTGAGCCTGCAGAGGGACCCAGCCACCAAACCCCGCTTTGCCACTTCAAGGCATCACGTGTGTCCCCGCCCTCTCGGCAGTGTGGTTTCATGACAGAGACACCTTCCTTCCACGGGAAGACCTAGATAAGGGATGACTGGGTCAGGTGGGAAGGAGAGCGTGTCTCGCCCATTGCCCTGCCAGAGAAAGATCTGGAACTACCGTCTCGTTTTCTTTCAGGATCAGGTCATCCAGCTGATGAATGCCATCTTCAGTAAGAAGAACTTTGAGTCCCTCTCAGAAGCCTTCAGCGTGGCCTCCGCCGCTGCTGCACTCTCCCAGAATCGCTATCACGTGCCGGTGGTGGTGGTGCCCGAGGGCTCTCCTTCCAGCACGCGAGAACAGGCTGTCCTGCGGGTATGACTCACTCTGCCGCCATTGCTGGTGCCACACTCCCAGGGATCGAAAGATGGAGACACATTGCCCATTACTGCCCCTTGAGGACCTGCCCATTAAGCCTAGACCAAGACTCGCTCCCCTTGCCTGGAATTTCAGACATGACCACGGGGCCCGAATTAGTCACAGGGTCCTTCAGATCTTCCCTCCTGGTCCCCCTTCCTCCTAGAGCAGCGATTCTCAACCTGTGGGTCGAGACCCCTTTGGGGGTCGCCTAAGACCACCGGAAAACAAATATTTCACAATATGTAATTACATGTTGTTTTGTGATTAATCCCTATGCTTTCATTATGTTTAATTATGTTCAAATTTGTAACAATGAAAATACATCCTGCATATCAGATATGTACATTACAATTCATAAAGTAGCAAAATGACAGTTATGAAGTAGCAACGAAAATAATTTTTTTTTAAATCATTTTATTATGGGCTCATACAACTCTTATCACAATCCATACACACATCAATTGTGTAAAGCGCATTTGTACATTCATTGCCCTCATCATTCTCAAAACATTTGCTCTCCACTTAAATCCCCGGCATTAGGTCCTCATTTATGGTTGGGGGTTACCACCACAGGGTCGCGGCCTCAGGAAGGTGGAGAACCCCTGTCCTAGAGGAACTAGAATAGTGCGGGCATTGCATACATAATAAGTGGAAGAAAAGGGCATTTCGGGGTCTGTACAGGTTTTTTCTAGATGTGTAGAAAAGCCTTATTTCTACAATGCACTGCCCAGTACCAGAGCTCTCTAGACGGCTGTTCTGAGAAGGCAGTTCTCGTGCCGGTGGGGTCTGGTCCTCGTAGCTGGTGGAGCAAGCAGCGGGCCCCCCACCCCCGCCCCCGTGCTGACACGGAGCCTTTCTGTTTCCTCATCACCCGCCCTTCCTCTCGGCAGGAAGCACAGGCTGCTTGTTTGTGTTAACTCTTCAAACCGTGCATGTGTGTAAGTCTTGAGTATGTGGCATTTGCTTGTTATTTAGAAACAGTGACCAGGCCTTCAGGAGAAACTGGCGTTTTACTTAATGTCAAAATGTTGAGGTTCCAAACAAACCAGTGCTGTCTCTGTGGTGGCACTCTTGAGGACGTGTCCCAGTGTATGACTCACCCCTCAACAAAGATGGGGTTGGACGCAACCTAGTGAACACAGTTCAAGAGGGGATAGGGCCAAGAGGAAAGAGGGTTGGCTTTGAAGCTGCACAGGCTGGGTTTGGGCCCAGGTTCAACCACTGAGCTACAGCGCTCCGCCCCCCTCCCCTTGGTGGCTTTTGTTTCTTAAATTTGGAAAATAGAGGCGGCCATGCCTTCTAGCTGGTGCAGTTGGTGTGAGGATACGTGTAACGTTTGCGGCATAGTCACAGTAATAGTAGTCATTGTTAGCTTTCATAGTAGTTATTAATGCTCCATACGTTCCCTCATTTTCATATTGCCAGTACCTTCACAAAATATCTTTCTTGCTAATGATATATATATATAAATATTCTTTAGTGTAGGAAGAAGTGACTTCAGAAAGAAGTCACTCTGTGTTTCCCTGGGCGCCGTGGCCTCATTTGAAAACTGAGATTACCCCATCTTAGGTGTTCTGTAAACAGTCCTCCTGAGCCTGATGGCCTTTCTCCCGTTATCTGATCCTGGGGGCGCAGGGCAGGGGTCAGTGACATGTCCTGAGGTGTGATGTTTCCTCCCTCTGGATAAAAGCACCACAAGCAAACCTCTCGGCCTTTGTTCTGACAGGTCCCTTTCTGTTTCTTTTGCAGCTGCAAGTCACCAATGTCCTGTCCCAGCCTCTGACTCAGGCCACCGTCAAGCTGGAGCACGCGAAGTCTGTGGCCTCCAGGGCCACCGTCCTCCAGAAGACGCCTTTCGCCCCGGCGGGGTAAGTCCACAGTGGATTAGTGCATGGTGCAAACATGGCTTTTGGAGCACTAGCCTGCAGCCAGATAACCCCAGTTAATGTGGTTATTAACCAAGAACATAAAACCAAATGTAGCACAGCACTGGTTAGGTCAGTTTGGTTGACTGGTATCAAAATTCTATCCTTGTAAGAAAGGGATGTTTAAAGCGAACAGTGTTTTACTTTGGCTGTACTGCTTCCTGTCCACATCTAGTTACCTCTACATAGGATATAGACAGCTAATTTAAGATTTAATATTTCTTTTCTTGCTGATCTATTAGTAATATATCCTCATTATGGGAAAAATACAGAAAAGCACAAAAAAGAAAATAAATCATCCATAATTTAACTACCCAGAAAGAACTATTATTAAAAAGTTTTTGTAGGAATGTAAATATTTTAATTGAGTTTGGATTTTTTTTAACATGATTATGGATTTTATTCGAACCACGGGGTTTTCGAGACTATGAAATAGCATTTACATTGAAAATAAACAAGAACCATTCATTAAAGGTTCACATGGCAACAGAAGTTACACAAATTAGACTCTCTAACCAACTTCAACTTTATTCCAGAGTTTGGATTTTTATCTGTAAAAGTGTGCCTTGAACATTTCCCCATGGGATTGAATATTATTCTACAACTTTATACTTAATGGCTACATATTATGCATCTTTAAAAAAAATCAGAGGTTAACTTTTGTATGAAACGTGGCTAAGTGTTACTACATTAATAAGCTGGTCCCTGTGCATCAGAAGCTCTGGCTTTCAGAGAGAATACATTTATTTGTCAGTCATGAGTGTATATAAGTGATAGGTGAAATTCAAAAGCAAAAATTTTTTTTAAGAATAGTTAGTGGGATGCTGTAAAGATATTCTTGGTATTTTGTTATGTAATTAAAGCAAAAAAAACCCAAACCCAATGCTATTGCATCAATTCTGATTCATGGTTACCTGTAGGACTGGGTAGAACTGCCCCTGTCAGTTTCCAAGACTGTTAACTCCTTACGGGAGTAGAAAACCTTGTCTTTCTCCCAGGGAGCCTCTGGTGGTTTCCAACTGCTGTCCTTGCAGATCACAACCCAATGCATAACCACTACGCCACCAGTGCCCCCGTTAGGTAGATAGCATTATTAATTCATTACCTTTTCTTCCTTTTTAAAATAAAAATTAGAATATGTTTGTAAGAGTAAGATTGTTCCTTTTTAGGAAATTTACAAAGCACAGCAAGCAGAGATAATACAAAGTTACTTACAGTTCTACTACCCTGCATCAAACCACTTGGAAGATTTTGGAGTGGTTTTTGTTTTTTTTTCTTCTATGCGAGCATGTATGTGTGTATGTGTCTTTTTATGAAACATAATGGGGACCCTGCTCTGTGTACTGAACCTGCAGCCTGGTTTGCCTTTAATTGTGGGAGGCTACCAGATGGAGGTGGGGTTTTAGGAGTGGCAGGGGTCTGGGGAACAAAAAGAAGACCTGGGGCGCTGGGGAAGGGAGGTCACTGTAAATAGATCAGAATGTGGAGAAAACACAAAACTGTGATTGAGCAGACAGGTGACGCGGGTGGAGTGGAACGTGAAGGAGAAAGTGGTGTCACCTGGGGCCATCAAGGAGCACCGCTCTGTAGCCTCTCGTGTTCATGACGCTCCTCTGTGAGTCCGTGCTAATCATGCTGCCACTCTTCACAGGGACGGGTTTGAACTAAACTTCGTGAATGTCAAGTTGCCCAGTGGTTACTATGACTTCTCTGTCAAAGTCGAAGGTGATGCCCGTTACATTGCGAACGCTGTAGAGGTAGGTGCTTTTCTTTTCTTTTTTTAAACATTTTATTAGGGGCTCATACAACGGTTATCGCAATCCATACACACATCAATTGTGTAAAGCGCATTTGTACATCATTCTCAAAACATTTTCTCTCCACTTAAACCCCCA